GGGGCCAGGTGGGGCTGGTAATTACATGGTGTAAACCCATCCAGATAAAGTAAATTGAAGGCCAGTACATATGTTGTCATATTAATTTTTTGTTTTATTTCAATAACTAAAATTTGTATAAATCATTCAAGGGCTTGTTCCCTGGGATTTTTTCGCAGGCAAATGACCCGGTTCGTCGTCTCAAATGATGCATTATAGAAGTGGGATGTAAAATGAAGTCTATCGTCAGGAATGAAAGTTGTATCCTACCGTGCCCTGCTCTTCGTCAAAGCATCTAGCGTGCGCTTAAGGCGCGTTACGAGCGCATTTTCTATTTCGAGCATATCTGGCTTTGGATCAGTAGACTATTGTGTGTAGGTATCTGTGTAATAGGGAGTTAATAAATGCTAAACAAGTTACCCGACATAACCTCATACAGCCTGGAGCTCTAGATGCCCTCCTTGGTTTTCATACCACGGAAGTTGACGCCCACGACAATTACCTCCTCGAAGAGGACGTGAAAAACGTGTCGAACGAAGTCCTCTACACTGTGCCCTCCGACGCAATTGAGAAAACCGACCTAAAAGCGTTCGTTTATACAATATTATTAACTTACCAACTGCCGTCTATATTCATCGTCGTGCAACTCCCGGTTAATCCTCTGGGGATCTTCCTTGTTTTGCATCGGCCTCTCCAGAGGATTTCGGGGGATCTCCTGAGACTGGTCAGTTGTAGGCATTGGCCTGTCGACAATGAGTAATTCAGTGGTGCGGATACGCGTATGTGTGTCCTTAACAACGCGCATAAGTCACACCATTTGTTGACGAACTTAGCGATTTACACTCTGAATCTGGTCTTGTAGCTACTGAATGCTGTCGTTGCTATCAGGTCTGATAGCAGTCTCTGGAGCATTTTGTTCCTGTGCTGCTAGCAAGCCCATTTTAGTGACCTGATTAGCAGAGAATACAACCGATTGTAACTTCCACTAATCCCCGTACTGACTACCGCCCAGTGCTGCACAGGAACTAACAGAGTTTTGCGTTAGCACGGCGTCAGGACATTGCTATCAGGAAATTGCACTTACTAGGATTTACGATCGCGGCTTTGTCTCAAGGAAGCCTTTTGACTCCCTTTTGAAACTTTTGTAGGTTCTCTTCAGTTTCTACCTGTAGGGCCGTTGGTCTGCATACCAAAATTTTCGAGCTCCACATGACCATCAGTTGAAACCAATAATTATTTTTTTTGCCTAGGATGAAGTCCAAAATGATTGACCCATATACAGCATTTATCACAGGCAGCTTACCGTAAAACGTGAGGTTTTAGGCAATGGGATTTTCGAAGAGTGCATTAAATATGCGTCCAACGAAGGTGCTAATAGTGTCGTATCCGATGGAGGACAAGGTATATTCACATAAGGGTTTAAAAAATTCCGTTTACCATTCGCTCCCGGTAAGCCATGTTCTACCACCGAAAGCTGTTCAAAACTCACGGATGTGCTTTTGTGTTGGAAAAGTGACCTCTTTGCAGAACTGACAGTTTCGGCCTGACTAGTTGATGAGGGCTAATGGACCAGGAATGGCCATCCCAACCCACTTTCTCTTCGCCAGCAATGCTCATATGTCTACACTATCAGTTGCTGTGCGGCTGCTGGCAGGGCTGGACAATGAGCCCTAAGGTAGAGCGGGATGACTGAGTTCCGTCAGTGATTGGTGAGCGTCCACCAACGAATTGCTACAGCCTTTGCAACTCCAAACGCACCAATGTCATTCGAACTATTAAGTCAGCCAAATGGGTCTCGATCTGACACAGGGTTTGCATAATTCAATGGGTTTGCGTCTCCGAGCATCATTCTCATGCTGATATTTACGTCGGGCTCTACTGACTCCTCTGCTTTCATCTAAAATGGACATCTTAAGAATGAAGATGCTTATTGGCTGAGACAAAAATAATGGCAGAGTTGCGCTGAATTCGCCGTCGTTTTCGGAAGTTTAAAGTATATGATTATCAGATATTAACAAAGCTTACAGGTGAAGACGCTTGCTGTGACCCTCTATCCAAAGAACACGTGTCACATTTGCGCTCCTTATCTACACCACGTAGTGATCTGGCACGCCGAAAACAATCGCTGCATGTAGGCATTAAGGGAACGTAATCTATCATTCGTGGGCGATAAAGCTGAAAGTCTAGATTCGCTTCCCCTAAGTTATGCAGTCTTTGCATAACACTTAAATATATTAGCTACAAGCTAACAGCCTACCCGACGCCAATCGTCTGCTCGAGGTAGAAAAATCATTATACGCCCTAGTTTGTTCAGAAACACTATCTTGTCTGCGTATACACCTTTTACGCAGCACCTTTAGCATAAACATGTTTACTTGCTTTCTGAAAGCTTTAGCTGGAGCATTCCAAATTACAGCTGCCAGATAGAGATGCAGTGTCCTATCTATTACATATATACGCAAACCAGACTTATGTAACTTCATCAACAAGGTATTTGTAGAACAACTGCGCGTCCGCTGGTTTGCCTATCCCACAATATATTGATCCACCAAAATTTTGTATGGTTCATATTCACTAATAAATGTAAACGCTTTAAATTCGCGTCCATTAGTGGCTTGAGATTTTATTTACACGCTGAACAGACGTGAAATGGTAGGTTGGGTTCAGAATTATCCAGGATTTGAAAAGATTTTTACAAACCGAAGATGCCCATTCATTTATTAAATTTAAGGAAGACATGATTTTCTATCAACTGAGTACATTGGTGAATACCTTTGTGCATATATTCCATGAAATATATTGGAATATATAAAGGCATTGGAACTCAATGGAAAAATTACTCACGTGGTCATCTTGTACAAAGCGTAGTTTTTAGACAGCCGGAAAAACTTGTTTAAAAGCCGGCACCCTGACCTGACTGAAATATATTTGGTTTATACTGTACGGAAATGAGTACACCAATCCACATTAAATAATAATTTCTAATAGGGAACACATTTCGCAATTCCCATTAACATTTCACGAGGTAGCATATCTACAGTATGACAGGACACTTGTTGGAGCAATTGCTGAAACCCCCTCAACATGGAACTCAAGAGTGAAAGTCCACCACATGTGCAATTAAAAAAAGTACGTACGTAAGAATGAGTTCCTCAGCCGTGCTAGACGTTGGAAAAAAGGTGGTGCCTATACGGAGCTCAGCGTGATCGAGAACTGCCCCTTAACGTAAAAAAATTTCACCCAAACTGGAAAACAAGGAAAAAAGCAACTTTCCAGAAAATCCCGTAAATCTAAAGTGATCTGGTGTGCGTGTATGTGGGAACGGAGTCTAAGCAACATACTAGGAAATAACGCATCATTGAAGGTCGAAAATGTCCAGGGAGCCTCCGTAAGCGCAGAACCATGCGTTTGTTGTGCAAGTGAAAATATTCCCGAGTCAGAAAATGATGACCACAGTGTAGTCTCTGTATATAAGAATAAATCAGAGGGTTCTTGAATAACTGAAAGTGTAGGAAAATGAATTTGTAACACGTACCTAAATGCAAATCCCACGCGGTCTATGTAACACCAGTTGCTAGTTTAACGATTATTTAAAGGCCGCCTTCCACTACCAACAAACACTGGCCTCTGCTTGAATGTCGGACACGCAAAACGGTGTTATATGCCTTGATCTTATCTGCTTTATATCAACTGCAGTTTTCAATCTACGTTTTTAGATAAGCCGTTGCTATTTTGTTCACATATGTATCATTGCAAGACACTTATGCCTTGATGTCAAAGCCTGCCTCGTCTTTTCACAGTCCTAACATTATCCCGCTAGCTTACTTTACGCAGTTCGGCTTACATGAGCTTGCTGGGCTTTTGAAACCGATAAACATAACATATTTGCAGACAGAGTTTTTTTTAAACTCTAAAATCATTCTTATTTCTGACCTAATGCGCCAAAGTGCTTACCTTTCCTATTTTTTGGCATGCATACACATTAGGAGCTCATCTCATCATCATCATCTTCGAGCTCCAATGTCTGACAAGGTTAACGGGATGGACTTAACCCCACCTGATTCTTCCACTCCAAAGACTTCTCCTAATGACCAGCGAGAATCCCAGGAGGTTGCTAAAACTCCGACAAGCTCAATTGATGAGGACTCCAGTGTTGAAGAGAAGAAGCCAAGCCCGTCTAGTGACAAAAAAGTCCACTTTCCGCAAGACGGTAAACTTGTGCATTCAGTCTTCGAAGGAGGTGAAGCCTGGAGGTTGGGTAGGTCAATCCATCATCCATCTTCATGCAACATCGCTAATTTTGGCGTCTTCAGATCCGTCCGTGCCAAATGAGGAAGTAATTGATCGTTATGCTGCACATGCCTACTCCCTGGATAGGAAGCCGATATCCTCCATCATTGAACAGCTCTCCGTACGCATATCCCCTGGACTTTCCTTCTAATTCATCAACTTTCTCATATAGAAAATGACCATTCCCTTTGCTCTGTGCGCCTTCGCCGCCTTCGTCTTTAAGGGTAAGAGAGTGCGTTTGTGATACAATGTGACTTCATAGGAACTCAGCTCGCCCTTCCAGACATCGAAGCCTTGGAGGAAATCTTTAAGTACTGTCATGCCACTCACCTTAGTTTTGAAAATACAAATTTGGAGAGAAAGGTGAGTGTGCTAACTATGGATTTTTAAGTTTTCACGTACGTTGACACAACTACGCCCTTTCTTTTTCGCGCGACTTCAAGTTGCCATTTATGTTTAAGTTTCCCTGTAGGTATATTTCTACTTGGAATTTTCTGTTACCGGCGTTATTGCCTCTTTTCCGTAATCCTGGCTAGAAACTCCAAATCAGTAGACTCCACAACTACTCTGGTTTGATGACACGGAGCGTCCTAGTGTTAATACCATTCTCATGGGCTGATTTAAACCCGATCACATGGTATTTCAGCTTGCTGTGCACCAAAATGAACGTTGTGTATTTGCAGAAGCCGAGCATTGACCTTTAATTGATGAGCCTAGTGATCTTTTACGTTCACGTATGCTGACACAGCCACGTCCTTTCTTTGTCGTGCTACTATAAGCCGCCATTCACGTTTAAGCTTCCCGATAGATCAATTGCCACTTGGGATTTTCTGTTATCGGCATCAGTGCCTCTTACCTCTACCTCTTTGCTAGAAAGTCATAAACCCCATGTTAGAACTGTTGATCTATTCGTTTTGCAGCTTGAATAACTGTTAGTACTGGTTGAACAGCTTCTCGAATAACTGTTCGAATTGT